AACAATCGATCAGGGCAAGCGGGCAGCCCATCAAGGAAAAACGAAAAAGAAAAATAGTAAGGTATGAAGTTACTCCAAGTAGTAGAATCTATATTTGCATATTTTGCTTTCCATTTCTTTTTCTTATTTCCCCCTTGCTAATCTAACTAAAAAAAAAAAATTGAAATAAAACTCTTCAAAAGAAATGGTTTGTGCCCAAAAATCACACCTGAGATCCTGACTAATCCTACAACATTCCTCCATTTTCTTTTCCATTTTTTACTGGATAAGTAAGACTTGCGTCCGCTTTTTAGCTTTTGATTCAAGCCCCTTAATTAATTACTCGATGTGCCTGCTTAATTTTTTGTCCAAAAAATCCCATGGTCCTCCCACAAGAATGGGACATAGCAGAACTAATCCCATTGACAAGTTCCTCTTGCCATTAAGCATTTTTGGAAAAAAAAAAACAAAGTCAAAGCTGCTAAGACAGCGTGGAGATTCAATTTGATGAATAAGCAAAAGTACATATGAGTTCTCAAACCAATCCAACTCAAAAGAGAAAAGCAACAATTAAGTAGGGGACTCAGTTGTTTTTAAATTTTATCCCCACTCAAAACAGCTGCTATTTCCATTTATGTACTTAGTGAAATTATGATAATATTAGCTAATTTTGGAACATTCCAAAACTTGGATAGAGACTAAGAAGACGTCTGAAATGCTCCAAATTCCATGACTTAAGAAACAGGCTGTCTCCACATGTAGGACCTCAAAGATTTTGGCCTCATACTGAAGTAACAACAACACCACCTCATTTTCTTTAGCACATAATCACTCAAAATGCTATAAGATGTCTGCACTTGCTAGAAATCTTAAGTCAAATTACCATTGCCAAGAATATAACAAGCAAGTCATATCATCATCAGCGCTCACTTAAGAGATTGAGAAACGAAAAGAAAAGGAAAAAATACACCTACTTGGGCAAATCAGGATCCAGCTCATCTCCATCATTGTTATAACCACCTCCTTCATGCTTAACCATCTGTAATTTATCATTCTGTTTTTTCTTCCAATCCTCCATTCTCTCCTTCCATGCAACACTACCATACCCATAGACTGCCAGATCTTTCTTAGGATCCATAGGGCGAGGAGGCACTGCAAAGAGCGGCCATATTAAGCCTCTAGTTCACAAATTGGTCGAAGAATTATTATTATCATAAAAGAGATTCAGATTAACTTACAAGACATGGAAGAATCCGAAACTGGATGAACTTTCTTTCCACGACTCATAAATGGTGGGATAATAAGAGCATGCTTGTCAGCTGAAATTGTATCATCCTACAACACAATATCCTAAATGTTTAGCTAAAATCTAACAAACTATGAATACCAAGATGACAAATATTGAGTTCATTACCTCTTGACCATAAGTAAGAAGAGGGATCTCAGTGCCAAGGGCAGCAGGATCCATCTCCGATGGGGTAGCAGTCCCGGAAGCATTAGGATGGCCCCGACCAAAGTTAAGACGAGCTGAAAGGGCAGCCTCAGCAGTTTGTTGAGGGTCAAACTCATTGTCCAAATCATCAAATTCATCTTCTTCATCATCCCCTTCAACTCGAGGACTTCCTTTGATACGCTTGTACCGTGTTTTGCATTGAGGGCAAGCTTGATTCCCCTCTCTCCTTTCATACTCATAGCAGGGTCTGCAAACAGGGAATGCACATTCATTGCAAGCAACAAATGGCTCCTCATCTACTGTAATCTCAATCTCATCTCCACAAATCTGGCAAATCTGCCCACTTAATTCTTTTACAGAAGTTACCTGCAATCAAGCCACCATAGAAAAGATTAAACTCATCAGATCAAGAAATTCCATGCTTAGAATCTATATTCATACTTAACAAATTAATACTAATAATCTATTAGCCAGCCAAAAAAAAACCTAGGACACAAACAAATTTTGCCCAAATTATGCAAGAAAGAAAGCTTTAGCTAGCTGGAAATTAATGTAGCTTGCTGAAATGAGCTGAAAGATCCAATTTTGGAAAGTTAATTGCTTGATACTAGGGAAACTTGGAACTTTTATTCTCTAAAGATCACATTTTTAGCACAAGAAAAAGGGAAATGAGCAAATAGGCAACTTCAAAAAGGACAAATGCAGTCAAGAACATTGCCACCGACACAAAAATGGACCTCAAAAAGCCATTTTTAGAGCACCAATTCCTCAAATCTCTTCAAACAACTCAAGATAAAGCTGCAAAGGAGATAAAAATAGAATAAAAATTAAGAAAGTTGGGATCTTGAAAGCACTTACTCTTCCCACTTCATCAGCATTGATGAGAACAAACTCATTCCTATTATGTGAACCAGCAATAAGCCTCCCTTTAGTATCCATTTCAACTCCCAAATCTCAACTTCAAAACACCTTTTACACACAAAACATTACCCAAATAACACACTAAGAAATCACTCAACAAGACCCCATTACATTACACATTCAAGAAAAAGCAAAAGCCTTTTATTCTCCTCTTTCTTCTACTGTTCTTGAACACCCATTAATTAAAGAATGACTGAAAATGATGTACAAACACACAGATACATACACATTATTAGTACTATAGAGAATTGGGTGTACAAAAATATAGGGACTATTTATTATAGGAAAAAATGTATGTGGGATAAAAAAAAAATAGTCTTTAGAGTTTAGGGTAGTGGGTTTTGATTCTTTTCTTGAATGAGAGAAAAAAACCCAAGTTAATATGGAAAATGGGTTTTCCTCTCTCTCTCTCTCTAGATATCACTTCAATGTTGAGCTGTAAGTGGGGTGGATCAGAAATGTTGAAAGTTCAACGCGTAATGTATAAGGGACACAGATCAGTTTGATGGATCTTTGATGATCANGCAATTTTGGAAATAAAAAATGTAATAATGATGGAGATGATTGTGATGTCTCAACTTTTTACTGTTTTAAGGTTATTCTCGGGGATTTGAGTCAAATGAGAGAGAAGGGTATGACAAGGGGTGATTTATATATACGCATGTTCGACTGCATAAATGTAAAACATAATTTGAAATTGATTTAATAAATGCTTTACCTTCCTAACTTATATGCAAAAAAATTTGACACACCTTCGTTTCAAAGAAAACCTTTTTACATATCATTTTTTTTAACGTGCTTAACATACACCAATTTTTTTTCTTGCTAATACATACACCAATTTTGCTCAGCTAGTTTTTTAATCAAAAAAATAATTGCGTAAGGAGGGTTAAATTTTGTCCAAAACCTTATTTAAGTTCCACGTATCAAAAAACAAACCAAAAATATATCTTGAGCATGTATATCTAGGAAAACTGACCCATTTTCTGATTCTAAAAAATTTTGAACTTTCGAAAATTTTATTAATATCACTAAGTAGTGTGGTGAAATAGTTGAACCCTTTCATTCTTAATTAGAAGTTTCACGTTTGAGTTATCACAATGAAAAACTTGATAAAGAACACTTTATTCTATAGTAGGCTTAAATTAAACCCAAATTAGTCAGAAAATAACTAATTTTCCAATATGAATTGTTAAATCAAAAAGGAAAGAGAGAGAAAAAAAATAATACTAGCAATAAGAAATAGGTTCAAACCTCAATAAAGAAAATAAAATATGATAGGTAATTTTCTTTCATCTATTTGTAAGTTTTAATACATATGATAATGTAACTAATAAATACTCGATAAAATAATTGAGGCAGTGATTTTATGTCATTGTCATGAAAAAAATTAGAGAATAACACTAGCAAGTAGACCTCTAAAGCACATTAGAGAAACATTCCAAAGAATCGATATGAGAATCAATAGGGGGGANCATGCCCATTGTGGTTTCTCAGCAAGGGGACTCAGACAACTGGTTCTCTTTAATGGACATATTAATAACAAAACAATACAGTAAAGTGGACCCTTTGGATGCTTCTTCAACATGTTTGGCAAGAGCCGAATACAATATTTATTTGAACGCAATATTTTTAACGCAAAACATAAATTTTATGAGTGAACATATATTAAAAATAATAATAAATATATAATGTGTTTAATATTAAAAACCTTAATATTTCAACTTATGCTATATATATTTTGAATCGGCTTATGAAGTTGGCCCTGTCAAAAGAAATTCATTCAACGCCCAACTCAGTCCCTTGCCCACACTCCATTAAATGTTCATCTGACGTATCTGTAGAGTGAAGTGGTTTTCATTTAATTTTTGTTTAGTTTTTGCAAGTCTCTTTAAAAATATATTTTGAGAAAGAGTATCTGTTGGATTAGCTTTTAAGAAGATCTATTTGGAAGGGTTAGTTTTTGAAAACATGTTAGGTTCAATTTGTTTTTTTAGTGCTTAACGACATTTTACTTTGATCTTCGAGAAGATTAATCTAGATCTACTTTTTAAATTGAAACGTCAACGGATTTGGTTTCTGGAAAATCCTTAATTAAGAAAAAATATTAGATTAGTCGCTTTTTCAGATTTAGACTTTTGATAAACTCTTTACCTTTAAAATTGGATAACAATAAAACTTATAATATGGTTCTAAGGACACGTGATTTCACCTAATACCAATTGATAAATGTGAGGGTGGGTAATAGAAATTAACAATAAAGTAAAGCAAACCGGTGTTAGAATGGAACTCAGCCCTCGAGTTTGGATACCCTCGAACTGGTTGATGCGAGAGCAATTACAGTATAAAAAGCTGATGAACAATAGTATAAACGAGAAAGAGAATTATATTATTTTTTATATCTGTCAATTGTGTCTTTTACAAATGATTAGAACTCCTTTATATAGTAGAGGAATTCCACTTATGGTATAATTCTAATTACAGAAGGAAATCCCCACGATTAGCTAATTAACCGTTTCTGATTTGATTCGTTCCGAGATTTACGCCATGATCCTCGACCAATCACCGAGGTTTACGTCGTGATCCTCGACCAGTTAAGGATAGCTCGCCTTTCTATCTTTGATGATTTTGTTAAAGCATTTCTTACTTAATTTCATTACATGCAGACCTTGGCAAAGATGCTGTCATGAGGTCCCTATCTGTGAGGAACAGACTTCGATCCCGTCACCGAAACCGGCGAAGGACAAAAAGAGAAAAAAGACCTCAACCTCCGAGGATCCAAAACCTAAGAAGAAGGCGGCTTGTAAGCCGAAGAAGAACATCATCCTTCTGACCGAAGACTCTGTTCGGCGTCTAAGGGAGAAAGACGAAGAAGAGGAAGAAGACAACTCCGGGTTGGTGGCCCGAGTAGGAATGAGCACCGAGGCCCCAAAGGCCACTGAATCGGTGAAGGCTGCAGAGACTTCATCTCGTGATGAGGGGGTCTCAGGAAGAGACTTGGGAGAAGTCCCCGAGTCATCGAGGATTGAAGATGCCTCCCACCATAATGAGCCAACGGTGGGTTCGGCTGTAGGGGCTGATATCGAGACCCCCTCGAGATGGAGAGAACGCCCCAAGTGATCCACTTGGGACAATAGAAATTGGAGGCTCCCCGCTGCTCCCCTCGTTTTCTAAGGAGATGATTCAAGAGGCTCGGGCCTTGAAGATCCCCTAAATTGAAGGAGCCCACGGAAGGGAGGATCCCTTCCGTGATTACTTTACTGGGGTCGAAGATACTACCGTCTTGAGCGACTTGGAGGTCTCAAGGAAGGACTCGGGCGAGGCATCGAGCCTTCTCAACGAAGCGCAGCAAGCTCTGAATCGGGTAAGCCTTAACTCCCTTTGTTGGTATTACCCTTGTGTTCATTTTTCTCTTCCCGTCTAACTTCTTTTATTCTTTTTGCGTAGGCCTCAGCGCTTCATCGGGAAGCATTTTCTCGGTCTCAAGTTGAGTTGAGTCGCTACGAGGCCGACATTCAAAGGCTTACCGAGGAGAGGAATGTCATCAACCCTCTCGGTGGGCAAAAAGAAGAAAAGATCAAGGACCTCTGAGCCGAGTTGGCCGTGGCTCACAAAGATCAGACCGACCTGATCGAGCAGGTAATGAAAATCGTAAAAGCTCATGGGCTTGATTCGGGAACGGTGGCTAATATTTCAATCTCACAGCTGCAGCAGAAGGTCGAGAGGATCGAGCAATTCCGTGAGGAGGTCGACATGATGAAGGCGGAGATCTTGGGGTGGAAAGAAAGTATGGACCGCTTTCCTACTGGAAAAGAAGTTGCTCGAGCCCAATTGTCGTCGGTCGAAAGTCAGCTTCGAGGCATGAAGGAGAAGAGCTCAGCTCAGGCAAAGCAAATAGAGGAGCTTGAGGCTCGGTTGGCTTCCGAACTTGCAAAGGCCAAATCTGAAGCCGAAAAGGCAAAGCCCGATGCAGATACTATCGTGGCCGTCTATCGGGCCGATGTTGAAACCGCTCAAGTCCAAGCGAGAGAGGCAACCAAGACTGCTCAAACTCAAGCACATTGGATTGCTGAGCTCACCAAATGCCAATCTCGGAGGGAGACCCTCGAGGAGATCTATGCTCGAGGTTTCGATCTTACCGACGAGATAATAAAGGCTCGAGAGATTAAAGCTGATGTTGGAGCGCTGGCCTCTTCCGATGATGATGATGATGGCAGCAACATCGGGTCCGAGAATGGGGAGGACCTCAATGGAGAAGAAGCTGCCCCTGAGGAAAATTAGGAATCTTAGGCTTTTTCTTTTTTGATTTTTTGTACGGGACCCTGATCGGTCCTTGTAAATATCTTCGTCTATATAAAAGATCCTTTTTCTCTTTGACTTGTGTTTATTCTATTTCCTGCCTCGTAAAAATTCTGTTTCGTTCATACTTCATGAAACTTTTGCTCATAAGTTTGAGGCTTAGGCAACTTGATCGAAGCCGGACTAGAATAGTCTTAATCGAGTGAGTACTTGCTCGAACTCAAAATAGGGTGACCCTTAGGTTTTTATTGAGTGAGAATAATTTCTCGAATTCAAAAAAATAAAATGGCCATTTAGGCTCTTGAATTAGGCTGATACAACCATAGTAAAAAGAATGGCTTTCTCCCCCTTTTTGGCTTGAAAAGTTTATTGTTTAATCATATAAAAGTTGTTGTACCTAGCATGAAATAAGGGATTTGCTCGAGAGTTCGAACGATTCCGTACCCGTTAGGGTTTTTAAGGGTCGATATTATCGAGACCCTTTGGTTCGTAATGCTTTAGCATAAAATAGAGAATTTGTTCAGAGTTCGAACGACTTTGTACCCTTAGTAACTCAGCAGAGGGTAGCCTTTTTAACCGGTTTTATGAAAATATTCGAAGGCCTGTTTTATAACGAAAATCGGACGTCCTCGAACCATGTTAATTTGGCCGTAGCCTTTAGCATTTTGGATTCGCCTTTTGGGCTTGTTCCCCTATTATACTTAGAACTTGTTCGAAGTATCAATCCCCGAGTGGGGTGGCCGTGGCCTATAAAATTGAGGGTTGCCTTTTTATGGTCTTACGATCTCGAGGTTTTAGTAATTCGATCATGTCGATTTTTCCCCGAGTGCGGGGTCAATGGTTCGAACTTTAGTTGTGACCGGTCCTTAAGCTAGTTTCCATAATAGATCACAAGCACGACATTATAAAGTAAAAATTTCTCTAAGGCATGCAATATCTGGCAAGGAAAAATACTTTTTTCAATAAATTAACATGCGTACATGTTTGCCATTAGGGCTCGAGTAATCTACATGGGCATGGTTCGTTCGACCGTTTGACCCTTACAAAATTTAACTATCAAACTCCTGTCGACACGAAGTATTTTCCTTATAACTATCCGAGGGTGATGCCCTCCAGTATCCGAGGTTGATTGTAAAGGATCCTCGGATACTGTTGAATTGCT